CCGGGCATCACGCGCAATGGTGGACCCCGCCCCTGTGCCCAGAAAGAAACCTGGGGGTATGGAAGCTAAAGGCTCGGAGGCTACACCATCCCCTCCCCAGGACGCTGGTGGGTGGACTGGCCGGAGCTGGTACACTCTCCACCACGCCGGTTTGGAGAACTCACGGGCTGAGTGAAGCCCGCGCCGCGGGCCACGTGGGCGGCCCTGGGGGCGGGGCCGGGCTGCGCCTCTGCGTGGCCCACATTGCACCGCGCGCCGCCGTTAGGCCGCTCTGGGCGGCACCTGCTCCTGCTCCTGCAGGAGGGAGGAGGGGCCGGGTGCCACGTGGCGATGTCTTGTGCGGGTGGCTCTCCCTCCGGATTCACAGCCCTAGCTCTCTTTACATTCTCTCCCTTAGAGTCGGGTTGGCCGAGTTCCCTGAATCTACCTAAACTGGTCCGATTACTTTGCCAGGCAAACAGGCCCAGAGAGCAGCCGGAATACAAAGGTTGATTGTAACAGGGAAGACCTCAAGTCTATAGGTTTCAAGAAATGAAAATTCATAATCCCTGTATCGGGACAGTGGACCCTGGCCAGGCATTTTTGTGCCACACATGATGCTAGACTTTATTATAAACATGAGTATGTTGAATCTTTACAACACCCCTGGAAGGGAATGTTCATTTTTATTTTATTTATTGTAAGCCTTTCTATTGAAGTATAGCATATATAAAGAAAAATTCACAAATCTTAAACGTTCAACTGAGTTTTTGTTTTTTGCAATGTAGCCACCATCCAGATGAAGATACGAATGTTACCAACACACTTGAAGCTTCCTGTGAGGAAGGTATTCAGGCTCTGTTTTTCAGATTGTGCAAACTCAGGAAGTTTACCTTGCTAAGAGTCACACAGCTATTAAGTGACAGTTCTGAGATTTGAAATTGTGCTTGACCTTTGAACTGAAAGTTGTCTATGTGTTTTCCTTGGTGGAAGTGGGCAAGAAATAGGCTTGTCCTAGTGTAGCTAGGCCTTTCTCTCCCCTCACCTCCGGTCTCCCCAACTCCTCTGTACTCCCCCAGGGCCACTCTGCCTCATCTTTCTGAGACAGGAAGAAAGAGGGCAGGGCACAGCCATTAAAGTAATGACCCAGTAATTGAAGATAGGACGAAATGTTTAAAACCTGACTAGGTGCAAGATTCAACTTCCAATAGACCTTGAGCCTCATTACACACGTGTCGTAATACATTAGCATGCTAAGTGACACACCAACAGGCAGTTCTGACGCTGGCCATAAAAGGCCAAAAGTGGGCAGTGGCCCAATTCCTGGGAATCCCTGCTTCTCCAAAGTAGTTGGAATAATCCTCCTACTTGTTAGCGTGTGAAATTAGCAAGTCCGTAAAAACTAACAACCGCATACCTCAAGGTCCCTCCCTCCCCCCTCCCCTCTCTCCCCACTCTCTCTTCCCCCTCCTCTCTCTCCCTCCTTCGCTATCACACTCACACTCTCTCTCTCTCTCTCTCACTGCTGCACTCTTGTCTTTGGAGTGTATCTATTTTTATTTTAAACTAAACACCACCACACCTCTTGACCTCTTACCTTTTGAGATGGCCCACATTCTGCGTATGGAATGTGTATCCCCTAAGCCACTCTCACTTTCCAAGATGACCCCCATTTCCCAGGGCCTCTTTTGCCTTCTGAGACAGCTTGCATTCTATCTATGGAGTGTATATCTCCCTGAATAAACTTGCTTTCATTTTACTGTGGCTCATTCTTAAAGTCTTTCCTGCGCAAAGCCAAGGATCCTCATTTGATAGTATGCATCCCAAGAATTTGCCCGAGCCCTGGAATATGGCCATCCTTTCGTGCCCCATGTTCCTGTAACATCTTTTCATACCCTGGGTTACTCCCCACTGTCTCCCCAGTAGGCGTGGTGTCTGTTGTGGGACACAGTGGGCCAGAGTACAAGCAATAAAAGAATTTACCAAAGGCAAAGGATGAGAATAGAAGGACAGTGTATTAGGTCACACTGTCATTAACAGCAACGGGCCAGACGAGAGGAGCCTGTATGAGCACCGAAGGTCAGTTGTTGAGATCTTTTATGGGTAAGGAGGTGATGAACACAATGAGTTGGGGGATGCGTGCATGCACAATTCTCCGGTTGTAGGTGAGGTAAGAAGTTTAGGGTCGGTGAAGGGGCGATGGGGTTTATGACTCTGATAAGGTGAGCTGAAACAAACCACCCTGAGCTATTGTGAAATTAGGCATTACCTAAGGCTATTAGTTTGTTGGGCAAACACGCTGCCCAGTAAAGAATGTACTTTATCTTTTGAGAGCTCGCAGACAGACATCTGAGGGATGGAAGTTGTTGGACTTTGAAGGATGCCAGTTGGCCCCACAGTGTCCTGATGGACTAAATGTCCAACATTTCACACCGTCAGTCCTCATAAAGACACTCAGATTCCAGCTTATGTGATCAGAATTTAGGATCTCTCAAACTCATTTTAGCCTAGAGAGACCACTGTAAGCAGATAGGGTAGGAGAGAAAGAGAACTCTTATACCAGAAAAACTGGGTTCACATCTGGTGGGTATCAAGCTGAAAGACACAATCAAGCCAAAGATCAGAAAAAGGAAGAGTTTATTACTGTTTTTAGCAAGTAAGGAGAACAACAGGGATCTTTCCCAAAGTACTGTCTCCCCAACAGCAAAACTGGGGAAGGTTTGTTTTTTTTTTAATGGAGGTACTGGAGATTGAACCCAATACCTTGTGCATGCTAGACATGTGCTCTAACATTGAGCTATTCCTTCCCCCACCACTGAGCTGTTTGCCCCTCCCCCCAAAATTGGAGAAAATTGAAGCTAAAGGTACAAGCATATTCATGAAGGGGCTTGAGTGGCAGACAGAGTCCAACCTTTAGTTGATTGAAATCACAAGGGTCAGAAAAGGTCAACATCATCTTCCCTTAGGTTCTAGTTGATCTGATGGTTGAGTACTTCAGGCTAATCTTTAAGTTGAAACAGAATCGGAGTCTTTACAACTGATACACGTCTTTGCTGTAGTCATTTCTCTTGCCTGATAAGTTTGTTTCAGCATTCTTTTGTTCTCTTAAGATCACTAACTACTGAGACCTGTTCCTGGACAAGCACTGTGGTCAGGCTTAGATCACAAAATGGCTTAAGCCAAAAATGACCCTTACGTCATCTCCTGCTGCCTCTAATGGAGTCCCCCTCCTTTTTATTTTTTTTTTAATTTTTTTTTGCTAACACTGACTTTAATAGTCTACAACCAGGTGATGACCTTGCCAACTGATGAACTGTTGAGTCATTTTTGTAACCCATCCCTCTCCTTCCCCAGCTCCGGGCCTTTTGCTCTCAATTCTGGCCACTGGGGTTGTTACATGCAAGGCACAACCCTATCCCTCAAAGAGTTTCAGAGCAATAGTCTCCAAATTGGTGGTGTATTGTCTTCTCAAATAAATTGAGCACATACCACCCCTTTCACAATCATCCTCCTCCCATTTAAAAAAGACAAACCTCCCAGCCAGTTCCTAGGGTCCTTCCCACCCACCACCATGTAAAAACTAAGGTCACTAAACAAAATTTATCAGAGAAATGCAAATTAAAACTACAATGACTTTTCACATCACAGATCATTAAGTAAATCTATTTTTAATTTTTTAAGGAGGCTCCAACCCGTTTTCCACAGTGGCTGCACCAAACTACATTCCTACCAACAGCGTAGGAGGGTTCCCTTTCACCACATCCTCTCTAGTGTTATTGTTTGTGGACTTTTTAATGAGGGCCATTCTGACTGGTGTGAGGTGATACCTCATTGTAGTTTTGATTTGCATTTCTCTGATAATTAGCACTATTGAACATCTATTGGCAGTCAGTATGTCTGTATTGAATGTTCTTTCTTTTTTTCTTTTTCTATTTAATTCTTGTACCTGTGCATGAATATTATGTATTTTCAGAATGAACAGAGTTCAACATCAATTCCATTCTTATTTTTCATTTATATAGATACAAATGACACCAAGCAGGACCCTGTGGGGTCCTCCCTGGTGCAAATCTTTCTATGTTCCCTGTTTCTTGTTTGTAGGACATAGGCTTTATTCAGCCTTCTTGACCTTCCCTGAGTCAAGGGAAACTAAAATAAACTAAAAATAGACTTACCTTATGTTCCTGCAATCCAACTCCTGGGCATATATCCAGAGGAAACTCAAATTCAAAAAGGTTCATGCACCCCAACGTTCATAACAGCACTACTTACAATAGCCAAGATATGGAAGCAACCTAAGAGTCCATTGACAGATGATTGGATGAAGAAGATGTTGTATATATACAATGGAATATTACTCAGTTATAAAAAAGAATGACATAATAGCATTTGCAGCAACATAGATGGACTTAAAGATGATCATACTAAGTGAAGTAAACCAGAAAGAGAAAACCAAATACCATATGATATTACTTACATATGGAATCTTTTAAAATGGCACAAAGGAACTTATTTACAAAACAGAAACAGACTCAGACATAGAAAACAAACGTACAGTTACCAGTGGGGAGAAGTGGAGGAGGGATAAATTGGGAGTTTGGGATTTGCATACACTAACTACTGTATATAAAACAGGTAAACAACAAGGTCCTATTGCATATCACAGGGAACTATAATCAATATCTTGTAGTAACCTATAGTGAAAAAGAATATATATGTATGTGTGTGTATAACTGAATCACCATGCTGTACACCAGAGACTAATACAACATTGTAAACTTACTATACTTCCATTAAAAAAATGATAAAACTGAAAAACAGAACAAAGCCCCAGTTCATCTAATTTTTATGTTTAAGAAGTATCAAAACTTGGCCCTCCCCCTGTCTTCCTCGAGAGGAGGTGGCAGCCATCTCCTAGTCTGCATCATGGCTACCCTCAGACCCCTCATGAAGCCCAAGATCGCCAAAAAGAGGACCAAAAAGTTCATCTGGCACCAGTCAGACCGATATGTCAAAATTAAGCGGAACTGGTGGAAACCCAGAGGCATTGACAGCAGGGTGTGCAGGAGGTTCAAGGGCCAGATCCTGATGCCCAGCATCGGCTACGGGAGCAACAAGAAAACAAAGCACATGCTACCCAGCGGCTTCCGCAAGTTCCTGGTCCACAATGTCAAGGAGCTTGAAGTGCTGCTGATGTGCAACAAATCTTACTGTGCTGAGATTGCTCACAACTTCTCCAAGAACTGCAAAGCTGTTGTGGAAAGAGCAGCCCAGCTGGCCATCAGAGTCACCAATCCCAACGCCAGGCTGCTCAGTGAAGAAGACAAATAGACAGCTCGTGCACATTGTATTTGTGTTAATAAAACCATGAAACTCAAAAAAAAAAAGTATCAAAACTTGTACTGTGTGTTATTTTGATCAACTGTATAATAATAATACATGTAATTATTTAAAACATGATCATAGAACTTAAAAATTATATAAATTCATTTATATATTTTGATTGCAGAGATGGATGATAACTTAATTAAAAATTTCAAGTATAAGAATATACTATATTAAGATCATATTCTCTGAGGAAGTAAAATGGAAAACAAATTCAAGGAGAAAAATGAACAGTATAAAATTAGCAACTGTTAAGAAAAGGTTATTTATTTGTTTAACTGGTTGATGGTAGGAATCAAATTGTTCTGGTATTTAGAATTAACTGAATACATTTAAAGGAAGTTATTTTAAAATATCAGTATATACTTATGATAAAAATTATGTGATGGGGTTCATAATTTACAAAATTATGTTAGAGAGAAGTAGAGCAAAAAGTTTGAGGACCACTAATCCAGGAAGTCAGAATATTCTGAACTAGATGCAATTAGATATCTCAAAGATCAGAGAAATGAAAACATCAGATTCTGAAAGACTGAGGTATTCCCATTAATTCTCAACATTGCTTTACTTTTACTGGGTAACTGTATGCCCAGACCTATGTTCCAAGGAGGATAATATTTAAGAAGCAGGAGGAAGAGAAAAGCCCAAAAAGGAGGCAGAGAACAGCCTGAGAGGTAGAAAGAGACCAAGTGAATGAGGTGTCTCCGAATCCAAGGGAAAGGAGTGGTTTATTTAGAAGGGATAATAAGAATTTATTGTTTTTGGCTGCCTGGTGTCCATTCCTCCCTCTTTTGTAGAATTTCTTCCTCCTCACTGGATCCAATTTAACAGACATTAATTAAGGTACCTGCCTTCCTCTAGCCAACACGTGGGTAAATGATCCAAGATATGCCAATTGGATGCTTTATTCCTTGAGTTTGAGTTATGAATATAGTCATCAAAAGACTAAAATCAGCTGGAATTCATGCATTTCATCATGAAATATATTTCACTAGCACCATGCCAAGGCTGTCAAGCAGTCTCTGCTAATAGGACCTCCTGAAGCTACCTGGTTCCTGCCAGTTCCATGCTTTGCCTTCCCTTTGGTTCTGCAAGTTCTCCTATAGCCTTCCAAAAAAACGCTCCTTTTCTTTGGATAGACAGAGCCAGTTTTTGTTGCTTGCAGCCAAGGGACCCTAACAGACACAAAGGAGTAAAAATAGTATCAAAGGCTGCAGGAAGAAGAGAAAGGAAGTAAATCATAGGTAGCTCTAAAAAAGAAGTGATGGAAAGAGAAAAAGTCAAATTAGGATTGTATACTGACTTGTGAATATGTTTTTTCACAACTCTTTGAGATGATCCAGGTATTGCATAAAATGCAAGAGGAATGATTCAAGTTAGGTATAAATATTCTCTACTTATACTTATATCAATGATCAAATCTAGATGTGACCCTGGAACTGTGACCCTGGCTGCAGCCTTTTTGCTTCCAGAAGGAGGATGGAACCAGTACAAAGAGGAGAACAGAGACCAGAGAATTTCAGAGAAGCAGAGACCCTGAGTTTTGATCGTCACACTGTTACTGGAAAATGGGGCACAAGTGGATGGCCATGTCCCAGGTCTCTGGCAGGTCCCTGGGACACGCCCAGTCAAGTGAGGGTCCTTGGCTTCATGCAGGAAAGAATTCAATAGCAAGCCATTGTAGGGTAAAAGTAGATTTATTCAGGGAGATACACACTCCATAGACAGAGTGCAGGCTCTCAGAAGGGCGAGTGGCCCTAGGAGAGAACACATTCCATAAGCAGAATAAGGTTAGTCTCAAAAAGGAGAGAGAGTGGTTAGTTTTCATGGGCTGAGTAATTTCACCTGCTAACAAGTGGGAGGACTATTCCAACAATTTGGGGGAAAGGGAGGGACTTTCCAGGAATTGGGTCACTGCCCACTTTTTGACTTTTTATGGCCAGGCTCAGAACTGTTATGGAGCCTGTGGGTGTGTCATTTAACATGCTAATATATTATAATGAGTGTATAATGAGGTTCAAGCTCTACCTGAAGGCGAATCTTCCACCATCTTGGGCCTAGTAGGGTCTAACTAGTTTTTTTATATCCACAATGGCGTGGTCATTCCTTTTTTCGGGTTGGGGGTAAGCAGGTTTATTTATTTATTTTAATGGCAATACTAGGAAATGAACTCAGGACCTCGTGCATGCTAAGCAAGCACTCTACCACTGAGCTATACCCTCCCCCCACCACCACCCCTTCCTTCTGCTTTGTTGTTCTTTTAATGGTTGTGCCCTGCCCCCTTCCCTTCTGTCTCAACACTATGTCTGGAATTTGCCCTATCCCTGGACTTACGTAAGATAATAAAAATTTCCTCTTTGCCTAAGCCTTTTTTTTTTAAAGAAAATAGATGTATTTATATAGAATATATAAAACACAAAAATTGGTAGTTTTACATTTGCTCTCGCCGTGGTGGGTTGCCTAAGCCTTTGAATCAAAGTTTTCTGGTGTTTGTAGCTGAAAGCGCCCTAACTGATGGAGATATGCAATTGTTTTTCAGAAGAAGATGGAGCAGGGCATATTTGCAAAGGTAGAAACACTTAAAAGTTTCAGAGTAAGAAAAGACTTTTTTTTGTTGCTGTTTAT